GTGATAGTTAGTTACATGACATCGATTCTTGGCTAAGTATGATTCTTGTGAGATATAGGCCGGTTGTACTCCTTTTCATACATAGATCGGGATTAGTATTTAATTATCTATAATTTGAGACATATGGTATATACATGAGGGTTTCCTTGTTTGGATTATTTCGCTCGACGTACTACGTCTCTTGTTGTAGATTTTTAAATATTAATTCTATCTATTGTATGATCTTGTTGCTTGGATGATGACCTTGTTGCTTGGATGATTAGTTTGATCGCTACCTGCTTGATCTTCTTACTTGGTTGATTTTTAGATTCTTCTGATTATTAGTATTCCAGTTGCATGCCTCTAACGTTATTATTATCATCACATGTTCTATTTCTATTTCTGTTATCACATTGACCATGCGTATTTTATCATTATTATTTATTGTATTTGTTCCTGCCTTGGGGGATCTTGCCGTGTGTTTCACACGCTGACGTACTCCTATTTCTGGGTGTACGTCAGATTTAGGAGATGAGCAGCCTCAGTACGGGATCGTACAGGAGCCAGAAGATTCTTAGCAGGGGTGTCTTGCAGAAGGAGTAGAAGAACCAGCTGAAGCGTAGTAGTTTTATTCCGTAGTAGTAGTTGGACACTAAAACTCTTTTACCGTACTTTTCTCTAGTTGATGATGGACTTAGTATTTTAACAGTATTTTCTTTATGGACTATGTATTTCTTATTTCCTAGTTGGACTATTTTGTAATAAGGGTATGTTGGACCCGTATTTTATGTCTGGGATGATGTATTGTGGATGATATGTCTATTTTTATTCTGGGTTGTCTTTATATTCTTGCTATGTGTGATCGGGGACCTATGACTTCGTATTGTATTTATTTCTAGACGCTTAGCGTATTAGGTTGAGGAGAAATGTTTTTATTTACTCTCCTTGATCTAATACGTCGCGGGCTTGTTCACGTTCCGGTTCCTGTGTATTTTGGGAAGCGGGGCGTGACAGGTTTTTTTGGTGGCCCATGCAGGTCACGGTCCCGAGTCCACACTAGTAAGAATATAGTAGATAATTTAGACGCATATCATATTTCATCCGTGAGACTCGGGGCGTGACAGGTTTTTTTGGTGGCCCATGCAGGTCACGGTCCCGAGTTTCTACTAGTAAGAATATAATGGATAATTTAGACGCATATCATATTTCATCCGTAAGACTATTCTTCAGCCCTTATTCTATATTCTTGATAGATTTCCTTTCGTCCCTATCTTATCATTCTTTGACTCCGGATCTTCCCACTGTTCCTTATTTCTTGTCTCCTCTTCTTATGGATATTGTTCCATATCTGTCGTTGGGTTCTTATTTTAATTCCGAGGACGGAATTTGTTTTAAGGGGGGTAGGATGTAAGGACCGTGATTTTCGATACTGCTTTAAATAAAATTTTCTAGTATTCAAATATTAAATTATTATTTTTAAAAAAAGGATATTTGTATTTTTCCCAATTTTCTAGAATTTTCTATGATTTCAAAATCCAATTTCATATTTAATGGTATTGCTAATTATAAATTTAGTTGTTAAGGTAAAGATTTTTAAATTAATATTTGGATATTTACTATTGTATTATTATTATTGTCATTATTTGTTGTTGTTATTTATTATTATTGTTATTAGTATTATTATTGTTATTCACTATTATTATTATTATTGTTATTTATTATTTTTAATCAGAATATTATTTAGGAATTTTTCCCTCCCTTAATTTTCTTTAATTTGAATTCTTTCCCTTTTCTCTCATTTGAATTCTTTCCATAACCCCTCCCAATCAATTCCCTAATCACCATTTAACTATTTCCTATTTACTCCCGTAATTCTCTCTCATACTTTCCTTTTCTCTCTCTCCCTCCCCAATAATTCACCCAGTCTCCTCCATCTTCTCTCGTTCTCTCTCAATTCCAGAAAACCCAAACAAAAACCGCACCTTGACTTGATTTCAAGAAGAACGACTATCTTACATCGATAAGATATCGTTTCAATTTCTCACTTCGATAAACGAAGTCAGAATCATAAACCCCTCACGGTTCAATCAGAATCTGTGATTTGGTGGTCCACGAGTCAAAGCGCTCCCGGCACAGGCAAAGATCCCACGAAAGCAGTGATCCAAACAACGATCCTGCGTTTATTTTCTCAAGAGTTGTAATTTTCTTTTTGTTGTGTAAAAGAGTCTTATAAAAAGGCTGTTTTCTTTGAATTTATTGTAATCGACCGAAGATATAATGAATTCGACAACAAATTCGACTTTTGGCGAAAACAAACTGGCGACCACAGTGGGAGCCAACGGTCTCGCTGCCGAGACCGTCGTGTCGCAGCCGATCAAGATTCCAGTTGAATCCATGGTCGAATACGAATTCGACCAAACCAAGTTTGAGGAATATTTCTCATCATCCTCTTCAAGATCTTCAGTATCTCGCAAGTACAAGAGGATCTCACAATTGAGGAAGACTTACATGCCAAAGAAGGCACAAAATGAAGACTCTCGCTTGATTGTTGCTGAGAATTTCACTCGCAATACTTCTGCTCACAATGGCTCTTATCTAGTTAAAGAGTCATCGAATCAAAGCCCGCCGGCATTGACGAAAAGAGCTCGTCAGAGACAACGCCAACGCTGTGCTCGCCAAATGGCTAAAGCCTTGGAACAAACCGACGGGGTTCGTTACCACGCGGACCTAGAGTCGAGGAGACATCGAGTGGTTCAGTTGTCTCAACAACCAATCACTCGTATCTCTGCTAAAACAACGACGGATGAATGGACTATTGTCAAAAAGACTCGTTCGACCCTCAAAGAACGTATACAAAAACGTCGTGCAAAAGCTGCTAATGCCCATGCTCTCTCACAACAAAGACGAGAAAAGAGAAAGGAAATGGTGACCAAAGAATCACCAAAACTTCGTCAAGTTTGGATTCCAAAGTCTGGACTTATGCAAAATCAGCATTCGGAGCCCGTTAAGACCCCATACCCGCAAATGGGTGGTTTTAGACGTGCGACTCCCAACATAACCTTGGATCGCTCAAAGACAAAAATAAATTGTCCTGAGAATGCCAACAAGGTCTTACGCCCCCAGAAGAAGACGCATTCACCAAATGATATCGTCATACCTGGGAGATCATACCAACAGACGATACGATTTTTTGGCAATCATACCGATGAATCGTATTATCAAGTTAGGGTTGTGAATAATTTCCGAAAGAGAGTTATTCGAGAGATAAACTCTCGTTGTTCCTGTGCGCGACTCGTTAAAGCAGCATTATCAGAATGTGACTGTTTCAAACGAGAAGTCATCCCACGAAAAGTCTCTGTATTATCGAAACCTAAGCCGAGACATTTCCGCAAAAGAAGAGCAGCTGTCCAAAATGATGAATTCCCTGAAGTCACCATCAACGTGGCTGATAAAAGAAAGTCTAAGCGGCATTCAAGTGACTCAAATCCTGACTTTTCCCCGAGAGGAAGAGTCAATCCAAGAATTGCTCAAAGGATGTCTCGACTCTAATTAGGAGCCATCAGACGCAGAAATTACAAGAGAATGCAAGAAGGAATGTCCTCGGAGGATGAATTCTCGGACACTTATTCTGCAATCGCTTCTGATGATACAATGTCTAGCATGGGACAAACCAGAGAAGTACTCACGATCACCTCTGATCAATTTGCTCAAATACTTCAAGAAGCTCTAGCCAAATAACGTGAAGAAATTAGAGCTGAGATGAAGACAGAGATGGAGTTAGCTATCCAACAAATGAGAGAATTGCTAACTCAACGGCCTCAACCTCCTGAATCCAGTCAGCGAGTTGAATTCAGCCGCCACACTCAGAATGTGGCAGATGATAATGATCCAGAAGTGGATGAAGTCATTATGGCTGATACACCTCCCAATAGCAATAACGCTGGGGGTGGTTTAACACATTCTCCCAATAATGATATTGGGAGTGGTTCAATGGCACCTCTTACAGGGGGTGGTCTAATTCATTCTCCTCAACGTCATTCGAATGAAGACATAGACGATGACAAGAAAATGCAAAAGCTTGAAAACAAAATCAATGCTTTGATGACGGCTCAAGAAGTTAAGAAGACGGGTATTCCATGTCCCTATCCAAGGGAATGGGATTCAATACCGTATCCGACGAAGTTCAATCTGATTAACTTCACACCGTTTGAGGGGAAGAGTTCGCCGATTCATCATTTGATTTATTTCAAGTCTCATTTGGGCATGATCTCTGGAAACGAGGCTTTAATGGTCCGGTCATTCGTTGGCACCCTTCGCGGGCCTGCCTTCGATTGGTACCGACGGCTCAAGCCAGAGAGCGTCAATTGCTGGGATGACATGAAAAGTTTGTTCCTTAGCAACTTCTTCGATGATGACACCGAAGTATCAATCGGAACCCTTTTGGATGAGAAGCAAAAAGACGGAGAGTCTATTGATAATTTTATCAAGCGCTTCCGTGACAAGGCAATGAATTGCAGAGATCTTGTTACAGAGGAGTTTATCCTGCAAACATGCCATAATAATCTCTCCATCGATGTCCTGGAAGCCCTGGGGGATCTAATACGTCGCGGGCTTGTTCACGTTCCGGTTCCTGTGTATTTTGGGAAGCGGGGCGTGACAAGTAAACACAGGGCATTTCTCTATATACAAAATATCAATAAATTCTAATTTGAATCCCTAAAATGCTAGGGAACAAAATGTCACTGATCAGACATTAAAATGTTACCTGATTTTTTTGCATCCGGATAGTCTTTAACATACTTTTCAAGTGTTATTGCCCATTCTTCATCTCTTCGGTCACCTGAATAAAATATTATTGATCAGATAAATGCATGTAATCACACCTTAATAAAGCTTTCCAATAGAGCAAATAGTCCACAATAATGTTATCATTTTCAATTGAATTTTCAACTAAATCATGTCTCTCTCTCTAACAATGAATTTATCAAGCGATCCACTTTGAGTTTGGACAAATTGTTCAATTTTTCTTGCGTTTATCATATCCAGATGGATACTTTCTTGGAGGCATTTCTATAATAAAACAAAAAATATTACAATCAAATTGAAAGAAGTCAAAAGATTCGGAACAATACAACCTAATTTGAAGCCTTAGATCAAGTGGAAGAGGTACTCGAGTAATCTGCAAAAGATGGTTGACCTTCCTCTTCCCACGGTCCCCCCTGTAAAATGAAAGAAAGAATTCATAAGAAAAAGATTAAGAATCGCAGCCTGAAAGCCATTATCAATAAGGAAAAACAGGAGAACTGTACATAATTGCTTATGTTCGTTGCAATAGTCAAGTTAAGTAACTCTTTTGACATTATCAGTTCTCCATTTGAATTTATGCATTTATGTAATGTAAGTGTGCAATTGTTAGTGATGAGTCTATCATATAAAAAAATCCAAAACTGTACAAAAAGCAACTGAACATTGTTTCTCAAGCATAATGTCAAACACATGAAGGGTAGGCTGTGGTTATGATGAAGACAACAAGTCAGCAATTCATCACTGAGGCATTTTCGCAGAAAATGTGTAGGTACTGGTTATGATGCAATGTACATGTGAAAATTATATAACATTAGTCTTTCATAAATGAGAAACTACTCGTACAACAAATCAAGACCATCTTCCAAATGCTGAACGTAAAATAAACTTTACAAAAAATCCATGACAATGTAATTATCAAGAAATACAAACATAAACACAATCATAAAAAAAGTACCCAAACTTTGCTACTTGCTAGGGATTTTGAGGATATCGGACTATCGGAGAGCGGGAGAGGGAGAGCCGAGAGGACTGAGCTCTGAGCGGTGATGGGAGGAAGAGGGGGATCAGAGAGGGAAGAGCGCCAGAGGTGGGATCGGGGTGGGAGGAGCTCCAGCCTCCAGAGTGCGACTGTGCGAGCGAGGGAGAGATGCTCAGATAGTCAGATGCGGCGGAAGAAGGAGCGTCGCTAGGGTTTTTCACTTTTTTTGTGGAGAGCGGAGCTGCAGAGGGATAAAGAGAATTCGGGTTTATTAAGGTGGGCCACTGGGCCTTATCCAACCCAATATAGTTAAAAAAAATTGGGGGCCCCCAATTTTCGGGGGCCCTGTTCCGTCGAACTCTTGGAACTCCTCCAGAGCCGGGCCTGTAAATGAGGTTGTTATGATGGTGAGTGGATAGGCACTAACTCTCTATTTGGTTATGTAAAGTCATGTGTTCATTGAACCGCTTTTATCTGCTTTTATCTGAAGGTATATTTTCTATAAGTATAATGTTCATTGAACTGCTTTTAAACTCAACCTATTGTTCTTTTGATTCGCTTATATTTTGCTTTCAGGAAATCAACGTGATCCTCAAGACCAATTCCCCGGATGCTAGATGCCAATTGTGATATCAAGCATTTTTTGTGTACATATATATGTTGTTGAATCTAAAGATGAAATGTGATTATTCATAAGATTCAAATCTTTATTTTTAGGCACATATGCATTTTTATTAGAAGTAGAACATAAATAGTCATTTATAAAGGAAGCAGTATCATTTTGTATGTTCTCTACTTCTAACATGGCATTATTTTTGTCATGAGTCAAGTTAGCAATATCCAATTTCAAATTATTATTTTCCAAATTTAGCATATAATTGTTTTCTTTAAGAGCAACATTTTCTTGATAAATGATATCAACTTTGGAAGCTAACTTCTCATGATTGAATTTTAAATATTCATGCTTGCTTTGCAATTCAATAAAATTTTTATGCAATTTGTTATAGGCATCCAATAATTTTTCACTAGCACAAGCAAGTTCATCACTAGATAAATTATTAATGGATTCGAACTCACAAACTTCACTAGGGCTATCGCCTAGTGGCCGTGTGCATGATGCTCCATATGAACTTGAAGCCAGATCCGCCAAAGCTTGTTGGATCGCCTCCAAGTCCCCTTGATGTGCTTCAATAAATTTTCATAAGATATAAGCACTATCAAAATGAACAAACTTGTTAGACATAGATGAATTAAAAGCATTTAGCAAATATTCTAACAAAATATTGTTCATTGTAAACATTCGATGATCATTTTTATTCCACTTGGATTTCTCCGAAGTGAGCACAATGTAAGCATCATCTATAATTTCCTATAAATCAAAGTGTTTAGATTGAACAAAAAGTTTAAATCTAACACACCATTGGGCATATGAAAAATTATCTAATCTAGGAGCAATATTAATGACATAACCTAAACCATGCATATCCATAGTGTAAAAATATACAAGCAAGATACAAATGCAATTAAAATAAGATTAGCACAAAAAGATAACTTGGATCTTTAACTCAAGGCGATTAGACCTTAAATCAAAGAGTACCAAGCTATGATACCAATTGTTAGACCCTATAGGGGGGGTGATTAGGGTCTTGTGCTAATCTAATCCGATTTTATGCCAATTAAAACTAATTAATAAGTTATCCTAGCGAGTATGAAATACAACAATATATATGAGCTAGGATAAGCAATATGAACAACAAGATATATCCTAACAAAGAGATATAGGCAATGTATGTGCAAGGATATATAAACAACACAAGGGTAAATAATCTAAACTAGATAGTGGACAAACTAAATAGTAAGACAATGACGAAATGAGCAATGAGCACAAATAAGAATAAACGCCAAGGCACACACAAACACAATCAAATAATCACGGAGTTCGGACCTTCCGTCCTACGTCTCTGCTCCCCACTCCCGGGAAGAAATCCACTATCATGACCGGGTTTTCTACGCTCACCCGAATAACGTTTACAACCACACTATGTCGTTTTTCAACGTTCACCGATCAACGCTCACAATCACTCATAGTGTCGGTTTTCAACGTTCACTGATCAACGTCCACTCCTCACACTCGGTTTTCTAGCTAACCGAAAACCTTACAATCTCACAATTGTAACAAATAATAAATTTATTCTCTACAATAGATGAGAACACAATGAAAGCTCACACTTAATTGTTATAACTTCCCACAACCCAAATTATACTATGAATGTAAATACAATAAGCTCAATGATTGTGTGTGTAAGCAATGAGAAAATAAAATCAAATCTAAACTCAACACAAATACTAGCTTATGGAAATGTAAATCAAATGTATAAATAGCTAGATATGAGTTTAGAGATTCTTCTCTGAATAACAAAATGGAGAGATGAAGATTGAAGCACAAACAAGAAGATGATCTCCTCCACTTGTGAAAACTTCTTTACAAACAAAACAGACACTAAAACACACTTAAACCCTTGTTTAAAACTTGTTTAAAACACTCTCATAAGTTAGTTTAGAACTGAGATCAATGGGGGTATTTATAGCCTCCCAAAGCCTCAACCACAAACCCCAAACAAAAGACCAAAAAGCCCCAAACAACGGCTACAGGAAAATAGCCGTTGGGAATGAAAAGACAGTGCGGCGATCGACCGTGGGAAACTCGCGGTCGACCGCGAGGCAAAATCAAAACTGAGAAAATATCCAGAGAAAGTTACGGTCGATCGTGGCGGGCGACCGTATCGTGGCGGTCGACCGTGGGAACTTATAGGCTGACGGTCGACCATCACGGTCGACTGTGAAAGTTGCTGCTGCCCACTCAGGAAAAGAACCAGGTGCGGTCGACCGTGACGGTCGACCGAGAACTGATATATTGAAAATACAGGTTTTGAAAACAGCTTTTGTGACCTTATAACCCTATTTAAAAATATCAAATAAATTCCAAAAATGTAAAACTTTAGGGATGATTGTAGACATGATAATAAATATGCTACAAAGACTGGTTTCCGAAAAGGACTTTCCAAATGAAAAATATCATTATTTTATAAAATAGTCCAAAACATGAAAATGTAAACATGTGAATTTTGATATTTTGGCTAAACCATGTTTTGAAACTTTACAAAATGATTTTATAGACTTGAAGAAAGATGTAAACTATTGTTATGAAGTCTATAAACAATGAATATAGTATTTTCACAAATACAATAGAATATGAAACATATGAGTGTGTATATGAAAATATATTTGTTTCATATATAAGAAATTAAACCAAAACATATATGTATATATATATAACTATATATATACAAAACCAAAACGTGTATGTGTGTATATTGATTGAGCTTAAAGTACTAACACACATAATATAAAACCTAACTAAGTTACCCAAGCTTGATCTTGATCTTCATTGTAGCTCAACTTGGTAAACTTAGATGAAGCTTGTAATTAGATCTTTAACTTGAATTGTATAGGCTTCAACCACTATTCCACCAACCTCCATTGGATATGTTCGTTGAAGCGCAATTCCATCCATCCTCCAACTCGTTGTTTGTCTAGAATAGATACAAAACATAAATACTAGACAAACAACATTAGTGATAAATTGTTTGTTAAACATCATCAAAACAAAGAGGCCAACAGTCTTAGCTAGCAAGCGCATGAGGCCACGAACAAACACATGGCTCGCCCAAGTCAGAGTTCATCACGCCCGAGTCAAAGCTCGTGTATGACTCAATTGTGCCCCATAAGTAGAGTTCGCCTACGGCTTGGACTTACCAACAGCTAGAGTTCACCCATGGCACAAACTCGCCTAAGCACGGGTTCGCCTACGGTCTGAATTCGTTCGTTTCAAGCCTGCCCATGGCTTAAGTCGCTCTGACTCAAGTTCATCGATGAGCCAAGCTCGCCTATGGCGAATTCGCTAAAGGATACAAGTGCTGGATAATAAAAGGTAATAACAACAAGGAAAAATATAGGCGAAATGCGTTAGGAAACCAACAAGGCATAACTTCTATTCATTTACCAGTTCTAACACAATGCATTTGAACAAAGTTATGACCCCACGATCTAATGAGTCATAACGTCACATTGGTAACAAAATAAAACAAAATGTCTTGACATCACCACAACCCTAAAGGTCTAGTCCAGCAAGCTGAAGGACGCAAGCTCCGCTTTGACAGCGGCCACCTTCCCTGCGTGGTCCTCCTGAGCCTTGTCCTCTGCCTCCTCCTGGATCCGGGCTTCGAAGTTTGAGGCAGCAGCAACATCCTCCTAACACAACATCTGAAGGTTTTGGGTCACCTCTTCAGTAGCCCTGCAAGTGTTCCCACTCTCAAACTGGAGCCCCCTCATAGTCATCTCCTCGTACTCTAGCTCGGCCCTTAGGCGAGCGAGGGTGGAAGTAGAGGTGTCCATCCTGATCTGCAGTAAGCATTGTTGGGCAGTCAGAAGAGCGATGTGAGATTCCAGGTCAGCTATGTCCCTCGCTCGGACCTCCTGCTCCCACCCCCACCCCCCCGATGCCGGGCATGGGCCGAGTATCGATCCATGTCAGGTCCTAGGTCCGCCTGCAACAAATGCTCTAAACGTGCCAGGCACGATTCCATATGTAGTAGCTTCATCAGGCAACGAGTAGCAAACCGGGATTCACCGAGCCGCCTAATATCAACCACTTGGTCCAAGAGAGGCTGCCTCAAATCCGCATAAGTCCCCCAACCAAGACCGACGATGGAAATCACCTGCTTTGAAACGTTCTCCAATTCTTCGACGCGAGCCTGTATAGGGAGTGAGTCTGAAGGGATAGGCTCTTAGCCGGGAGCAAGTGCCACGATAGGTGGAATCTCAGGATAGAGCTCTGCTTCTGACTGAGGAGCAGGCTGCGAAGGGGATGCAGTGGCAGCTTCCTCGGACNNNNGGTTCGGACGCAGGCACCTCAGTGGCTAGCACATCCTTTTGAGCTACACGACATCACAAAAAGATTAAAATCATGAGATCGTCCTACTCATGATCCCATTAAAAAAAGAATACCTCCTGCAGCAGTAGCAGCCTCAGCGGCAGAGGAGGAAGCTCCCCTTCCCTTCTTCGAAATAGTCACTTTTACTCGCGGTGCCATCTCAGATGATGTAAGAGAAAGCTTGGATTTTCTCTGAAGTAAGCAATGAACATCGTGACTTTCCGCAATGAACATCGTGACTTCCCCCAATGAGGAAGACGAATGCTATATATACGTGG